CTCCATATCACCCACAAACAAGTGGGCAAGTTGAGGTGTCAAATAGAGAAATCAAGAGTATTTTAACCAAAACTGTAAATGCTACTCGGACTGATTGGGCGAGAAAATTGGATGATGCGCTATGGGCTTACCGCACTGCATTCAAAACTCTGATTGGTATGTCATCGTATAAATTGGTGTTAGGAAAGGCATGACACTTGCCGGTGGAGTTAGAGCATAAAGCCTTCTGGGCGTTACGATAATTAAATTTGGACTTGAAGGCCGCTGGAACTAGTAGAGTCACAGAGCCGCATGAACTTGACGAGTTCTGTTACCATGCTTTTGAGAGTACAAGGTTATATAAGGAAAGAATGAAACTGGTGCACGACAAAAACATTTTGAGCGAAATCTTAAGTTGGGAGATGTGGTATTATTATTCAATTCGAGATTGAGGTTGTTTTTGGGCACATTGAAGTCAAGATGGTCAGGACCATTCCGTGTGCTAGAGATTCATCCCACTGGAGCCGTTGAGATTGCTTCAGAAGACGGTTCTCGCAAGTTTAGAGTCAATGGTCACAGGTTGAAACGTTATTTGGGCATGGATGAGATGAAAGTAGTATCGGTGACTCAATTGCTAGAGCCAACAATGTTGAGCGAGCCTTAAGTCGATTGCATGCGTCCTGCCGCGACGTTAAATCAGACGCTTCATGGGAGGCAACCCATTGTAATGTTGTATTCGTCATGCCGTGACGTTAACTAAGACGCTCATTGGGAGACAACCCAATTCGTTTTTGATTTTTAGCGTAATTAAAATTTTTCTTTTCGTTTGTAGGAACTAACATATTTGCAGGTAATTCTGGCGGATCGTGTACTGGACCTTGCATCGCCACGTCCCCAGTAAATTAGGCCAGGCAGAAAGCCTCGCGTCGCCAGCATTATTTCTTGTGTGAGAGCTCGCCTCGCATGTGTTACATCGAGGTGAAACGTGCATACTATCTTGCGCCGCACGCCCCACATCTCGCGTTGGAGCTCGCTTCGCACGAGGTATAGCGCGCCATTAGCCTCGCGTCGCCAGGTAAGTATTTTTTTTCGATTTTCTTTTAATCCTTTTGTTTTGTTCCTTTTAAAACCCCTCCCTTAAAACATAAACTAAACGCCTCAAACATCACTCATAACAATCTCACACACTCACGCCTCAAGAACCCTCCCTCACAAACCCTTTGAAGACAAGCATTCTCTACTCTTTCCTTCACCTGCAACATTAATTCAAGGGCAATCCTTCCTCTTAAACATCCAAGGTATGATTTCTACATCCATTCTTTGGCAATTTCGAATTGGGTGAATGCATGTCATTGGATACAAATTTTTGGGGTTGTTCTTCATTGTAACAATGTGTTTGTGTGTCCCAACCACATGAACCCCATAGGAATGATATTGTTATTGTGTGAACAAGTGGTAGCACGGAACTTCCAAGCCGATTTGGGAGGGTGAGGCAATCCCTCATCCCTACAAGCACTCCCATGGTACTAGTGCATGCTAAGTGTTTGTCATAATTCCTCAAAGGCAATCTTTGTCCCCATTGGAGCTCGAGTCTCCGGGATTATGAGACTAGTACTATGTAGCCGTGCACCACTTTAAAATTTTAAGTGTGAGGTGGCTCACTGGTAGCCCGATGCTTCGAATTTTGAGGAAGCACCCATGTGTCATTGCTTGATTTTCATACTAACAAAAGATGAGGTGAAGTCTGTGTAACCTCGAAAATTATGGAAAATCATGTGTTGAACTCTTAAATGTGGGGTCGCAAGACCATGTTTTGAATGTTGCAATGCGTCCTAAACCGATTAATGATCACTTGTGTAGATATAAACATGCCTCAAAGGAAGGACACCGGTAAAGGCAAGGCCACATCCACTGCTCCATCTAAGGCTAAGGCTTCCTTCGCACCTCTACCGAAGAAGAGAAAAGGAGGTGAAGCCACTTCAAGTCAAGTTGAAGGACTGCAAGCAGTGGCAGCTATAGCAGCCACTCGCCCATAATCTCAAGGACAGAGGGAGTTTGGACTCAAGACCATATCTCCACATGTCAAGGACTGGTACAAACGTTGCAAGCCGAGACATATACATCCGGAATCTGCTATTCATGAGCGTCGCCTACAAGCCAAGTACCAAGCAATTTGGAGAGGTATTAATGAGTTAGGGCTGAGTTATGTGTTCAAAAATACCTGGGATATCAATGTCAATCTGGTTCGAGAATTTGATGCCGGTTTTGAGTTGGTGCCCATTCGAGGAAGGTTGATAGATTTTTCAGCCTTAGCAATATGCAATTTCTTAGGTGCTCCAGATGTTCCTCAAGAACCCTTGGACAATTTCATCACCCGTCCTACATATCGAGAACTGAGACACACTCTTTGTGGTGTCAATTCTATGGCGGCGTGGGTTCGGGATAAGAAAACCAATCGTCATAGGAAATTCACCAAGAAGAAGATGAGGGCAGAGGCTCAAGTATGGCTGAAATTGATTAATACATGGCTCCTACCTTGCAATCATGACACTCTTATTAGCCGTGAGAGGAGGTGTGTGCTATATTTCCTCATGACTGGCCAGAGGGTGAATGTGGGTCATTTGATCCGCTACCAGATGACTCAAGTGAGAACTAGTAAGAGAATTGATTAAATGCCCTTTGCAAATATGTTCACACAGTATTTGAGACAGGAAGAGGTGGGGGAGGAGAAAGCTTTCGATCACATCATTGATCAGCCCCTACGAATAATGGACATTACAAGCGTCCGAGTTAAGGAGGAGACTGTTATGCCAATAATGACAGGTGCCGAGCGCAATACTCGCGATGACAGCTTTATGGCCCATATTTATGGGATGATGGACTTGCAGCTCCTGATTGGGGGACGTTCGGCCACTACAGAGGAGAGAGCCATATTGTAGGAGCGTTTCCCGCTCAATGCTCATGCTCAGCAGCTGGTTAGGCTTGGTGATGACTACAAACTCCCAGAGGATGAGGATGTCAATACACCTGAGCAGTCCGAGGCCGAGTCGGAGCAGTCGGATGATGATGATGATGCTGATGAGGAGGAGGAAGCAGAAGAAGAGGAATGGGCAGCCTTCGAGGATGAAGGCGATGATGAGGCTTGATGAGGGAGTTTTCATACACCCTACTTGTTATTTTTCTTGTTTTATTTATTTGAGTATGCACTGAGGACATTGCATGAAATAAGGGTGGGGTGGTAACTTGTAAATATTAGTCTTCTTTTAGTTTTTTTTATTTTATATAATGCACTAATTTGTTTTAGTTAGTGTCGACTTAGATTTTTTAAAAAATGATAAAAATGTGTAGTGTCATCTTGCTAAGTAGAAAAATTGGAATCTTCCCGATGATGGATCTCTTAGACAGTTTTCTTAAGGGAATTAAGTCTAAAGAAAAAAAAAGATTTTTTTTGTAGGTAGTGTAGTAATTCCCCCTTGGTTTTTCTTTGTACTGCGGTTCTTTTCCAAGGGTTTTAGTGGAATCGGGTGTAGTTAGTTTTAATTTTTAGGAGTAGAAACCACTAGGCTATGAATTGAATTGTAGCGATATCTCTTAACTTTGTTATACCTTGAGAATAGTGAGTACTCTAGTTGTGATGCTTAGGCTCAATGTTTGACTCTAATATAAATACCTTAAATCGTAGATTCTTAAATTTGCTTAACTGCTTTGACTAGAGTGTCGTGATAAAACCAATCCTAAGTGAGTTATGTGCAATGTTTGTGTGAGGTTTGCATGTATTCTGTGTATTGCAGTTGATGTCTAGAACTTGCCCCATGTGTATGCGAAGCAAAATAGTAGTCTTGTTCAGTCTGAAAAGTGATAGAGGCGTTTCTTTGTTGAGCCAGATATATATAGTTTACCCGCCTAAATATCATATAACGTAGTTAATCCCTTTGAGCCTGTAATCATGTTTCTTTGGTAACCACATTACAAGCCTTACCCTTTGTTTGAATTGACCATATATTTGAACCTTGTCACCTCTCATGGGCACTTGTATTGTGATGAATTATGTAAAAGTTACAGTGTGAGGTGGTGGTTTGGCTTTTGATGAAACAAATAGAATAAAGAGAAAAGTGCATCGTTTTGAAAAGAAAAAAATATATATCAATAAAAGCCACTTGGATTGAAAGAAAAAGAAAAAAATATACATATAGTTGTATTGTATAAAACAAAATAATTCTTGATGGTGGTGGCTAGTGATGTAATTGTGCATAAAGAAGTATAGGGTAATATACATTGATATGAAGGTGGAGTTTTGGTTTGACATAAGTATGCTCTTGAGTGTTGAAGTATATGTATTAAAGTGCTTAAGGGAGGTGTAGTCATTCATATCTAAATATATCCTACCCGACCCGTAGCCTACATTACAACCAAATAAAGTCGTACTTGATCCTAGATTGAATGAGCTCGATTAGTAGAGTATTATACTATGGGCAAGCCTATGATGCATCATTTATGGGAGGAGAAGGATCATTCTAGATTTGTCTGCGAAGAAAAAAATAGGTTTCATAAATGGTACATATGCCAAACCTTCTCATACCTCTTCGCTATACGAACCGTGAGAACAGTGTAATAACATGGTGATTAGCTAGATTCTGAATTCTTTAGATTCTAACATAGCACAAAGCATGCTTTATTCCAAATCTGCCAAAAGTCTTTGGGATGAACTGAATCAACGATATGGTCAATCTAATGGTGCTAGGATGTATGAAGTACAAAAGAATTTGAGCTCAATTTCTCAAGGTTCCTCTGATGTCAGTGGTTATTTTAATAAGGTAAAAAGGCTATGGGATGAGATGGAATCTGTCATGACCCCAATTTCCCCTCCGTAGGATGTTATAATGGCACCTAGTCTCTAAGACTAGGTAAGCCTAACAATTTGCGGAATAAATAAAATAATAAAATGAACTCCAATCTCAACGCTTGATATATAAATATAAAAATGCAAATCCATAATCACAGCTCCCAAAACCCGGTAGAAATAAGTCACAAGCTTCTAAGAATTTATTCTGAGTGTCTCAATACATCAGAGTCAAAAGAGAAATAAGGAAGACAACATAATAAGGATAGAGGGGGACTCCGAGGTCTGCGGACGCTGGCAGATGTACCTTGAATTCTCTGTGTACAGCTAGTTCACTGATACCTGGTCCGATAGGAAGTACCTGGATCTGCACAAAAAGATGTGCAGAAGCGTAGCATGAGTACACCACAGCGGTACCCAGTAAGTGCCAAACCTAACCTCGGTAGAGTACTGACGAGGTCAAGTCAGGGCCCTACTAGCTTAAGAGAAAAGTAAGGCAGAAGATATAATAATATTTTTGAAATGACTGAGGATTTAAACAATAAGAAGTTTCAGAAAATATCAGCACAATAAATAGAGGTAAACAACAGGGGCACTCTCGAGGTACCGCCTCTTAGTCCCAAAAGTAAATCTACAGTACGGGGGATCTCCCAAGGAACCGCCTCGTAATTCCAAAAGAAAATATGTAGTATAGGGGAATCTCCCGAGGAACTGCCTCGTAATCCCAAAAGTAAATATTCAGTACAGAAAAATCTCCATAGTAAACGCCTCGTAGTCCCAAAGTAAATATGCAGCAGATAGCCGAAGGAACAATGAATTTACAGCAAGAATCTTACAATTAAAAATTTAATTCAAATCAAGAAAAACAGGTAGTTCAACTAAGCATGTTGCACAATTTGCAAGTAAGAGTTAAGGCACATAGGCATGCGATACTAGGCTAAACATGATCACTACATATGCTAAGGCAACTCAGTAAAGGAATTTAAAAGAAGACAACTCAGCAAGAATCGAAATTTTCTACAATTAGCTTGTGTACGCACTCGTCACCTCGCGTACACAGCGCTCACATATCACAAATGGTTACAACAGTACCAAACCCTAAGGGGATTTCCCCCACACAAGGTTAGACAAGTCACTTACTTCAAATCTCGCTCAATCAATCGATAAGGATGCCTTTCCCTCGATTTTTCAATTCCAATCGCCTCGAATCTAGCCAAAACAACTGCGTACTATAAATACAACTATATAAAATTAATTCGAACAATAAAATTATGATCTTTACGAAAAAATAATAAGTCAATCCGAGCCCGAATCTTGGAACACGACCAAAAGTACAAAAATTCAAAAACTCATTCAACGACGAGTTCAACCATACCAATCATCAAAATAAACGTCCAATAAATAGACATAGAAACCATTTAAGAAAGATAGAATTAGGGAAAACTAAAATAACAAAAAGCGAGAAAAGTGAATCAAGCCATCAGACAGAGCCATTCAAAGATTTCCAACTCTATCCATGTCAGATTTCTAGGTTCACACTTAAAATTGTTTTGTTTCTTTTTCTTTTATTTAATCCTACAACCCAATTGTGTGTTGACTTGCCTCTCCAGTTTCAAATTACTCCAGATCATTTTAATACCCCAAACAAACCAAGCTTAAGCTCACATTCTTATGGATACTATACTAAAATATGCAAATTAATAAAGAAACTCATTTTAACAAACATGCCAAGCATCCAACTTGATGACAACAACTCTTTAGGATACTGAGATACTAAATTCATTAATGCTAAGTTCCAGACTTTTAGATTTTAAAGAATAAAGAGATTTCAACTCCAATGGTAGTCTAAAACCAACTTCACATCAACTTTAATAGACTAGAAAAGTAAAATAGTGATAAATTAACTTTGCGGCAAATATGATGAATTCATTTTTACTTGAAGATTGTAAAAGGCCGATTGAGAACTTTTAACTCATATAATCCATGTTCAAATCATAAATAAATAAAAAAATAAGTAAACACATGGACGATATCTTTTTTTTAGTAGCTTTTTAATAATAAAGAATCATATGAATATCCTCTCCCTATTTGACTAAAAACCAAATCAAATGCAAATTCAACACAAAATAAGTTCACTCGATCCTAATATAAATTCATAGATAAGAGTATATGAGATGCCGAATACAGTGAACAAAACACTAAGAAAACTAAACAAATCTCAACAATTATTGTAACCTTAATCCATCTTTTGATGGCTCTTCTGAGACTAGATTCACTTCAAATATGATTAAATGAAGAAGAGAAAAAGGAATTGAACCTGCTAAGCCAAGACTATCTTTAACACCAATAGAATAGTCACCAAATAAAAGATATTGCCTCCAAAATCCAAACGAAAGAGAAACGGCAACAAAGATGAACACGAACCGCAATCGGAACTCACGAACGGCAGCTAGAAAACTTCCGACTCCAACCTCGAACAAAACTTATAACATATTCGACTCAATCAAATTCCATATTTTGGAAATAAATATCGGAATCAAAGGAAGAAGCAGAAGCGTATTTTGTCATATTTTTATTTTTTGATTTTTTCTGAAATCTAAATGAAACTCGAAAATCTAAAAATGGAGACTAAAAGAAGAACCCGCTTTTCTCTCAACGCTAGATTCTGTCCCAATTTGTTTTTTCTTCTCTCTAAAAAATCTGAAAGAGATAATAATAATATATAGGTCTCAAGAAGATTCAGTGTTTTTTTCCCCAAGCCTTCCAATCCGAAAATTTCTTATTATTTTATTCCAATCTTAATTTTTCTAACTTTCACTAGTTAATGTTGAAATGACCTACAGACTTTCAAATCAATATCCAGGCACGATCCTAAGACTAAAATTACCATACGGAGCTATTGGAACCATGAAAAATATATTCCAGAGTCGTCTACACAAAAATCACACTACGACCAACTCTTTCAACTTAAACTTTTAACTTAGAGACTATGTGTCCCATTTCACTCCGAACCAAAACCAAACACCCCGACAAGTTACACAACCAAAATATAGCATAGAGGAAGCAACAAATGGTGGATTGAGGCTAGCACTCTCAAAACAACCGACCGGGTCGTTACATCCTCCCCCTCTTAAACAAACGTTCGTCCTCGAACGAGTATAGAGACATACCTGAAGTGGTAAAAAGATGAGGATAACAGCTACGCATATCATGCTCGGTCTCCCAAGTTGCCTCCTCGACCGGATGACCCCTCCACTGTACTTTTACTGAAACAATGCTCTTCAATCTCAACTTTCTAACCTGTCTGTCCAGAATGGCCACTGGTTCCTCAACGTAAGATAGATCGTTGTCCAACTGGACTAAGCCGAAGTCTAACACATGAGATGGATCGTCGTGATACTTTCCGAGCATAGAAACATAGAACACAGGATGAACTATAGTGAGGCTAGACGGTAGTGAAAGTCTGTAAGCCACCTCTCCAAACCACTCAAGAATTTCAAAAGGCCCCGATATACCTAGGGCATAACTTGCCCTGCTTTCCGAACCTCATAACACCCTTCATGGGCGAAACCCGGAGCAAGACCCGCTCACCAACCATGAATGCAACATCACGAACCTTCCGATCCGCATAATTCTTCTGTCTAGATCGGGCTGTACGAAGTCGATCCTGAATTAATTTAACCTTTTCCAAAGCATCCTGAACCAAGTCTGTACCCAATAGCCTAGCCTCACCCGGCTCAAACCAACCCACTGGATACCGGCACTACCTCCCATATAAGGCCTCATACTGAGCCATCTGAATGCTCGACTGGTAGCTATTATTGTAGGCAAACTCTGCAAGTGGCAAGAACTGATCCCAAGCACCACCAAAATCCTTCACACACGCACAAAGCATATCCTCTAATATTTGAATAGTGTGCTCGGACTGTCCGTCCGTCTGAGGGTGAAAATGCTGTACTCAACTCTACCCGAGTACCTAACTCACGCTGTACGGCTCTCCAGAACCGTGATGTAAACTGTGTACCCCGGTCAGAGATGATAGATACCGGTATTCCATGAAGCCTGACAATCTCGCGAATGTAAACCTGAGCTAGTTGCTCCGAAGAGTAAGTAGTAACCACATGAATGAAATGAGATGACTTGGTCAATCTATCCACAATCACCCAAACTGCATCGAACTTCCTTTGAGTCCGTGGGAGCCCAACAACAAAATCCATAGTGATCCGCTCCCATTTCCATTCTGGAATCTCTAAATTCTGAAGCAATCCACCCGGTCGCTGATGCTCATACTTCACCTGCTGACAATTTAGGCACCAAGCGACATACTTCATTATGTCTTTCTTCATCCGCCTCCACCAATAGTGTTGTCTCAAGTCCTGATACATCTTCGCGACACCTGGATGAATGGAGTACCGTAAACTGTGAGCCTCCTGGAGAATCAACTCACGTAATCCATCTACATTGGGCACACATAGCCTCCCCTGCATCCGTAATACACCGTCATCCCCAATAGTGACTTTCTTTGGCATCACCAAGTTGAACCGTGTCCTTAAGGACAAGCAGATGGGGGTCATCATACCGATGCTCCCTGATACGATCATAGAGAAAAGACTAAGAAACCACACAAGCCAAAACTTGGCTCGGCTCGGAATCATCCAATCTAACGAACTGGTTGGCCAAGGCCTGAACATCCAAGGCTAAAGGCCTTTCTGCTATTGGTAGATATGCTAAACTGCCCAAACTCTCCTATTTGCGACTCAGGGTATCGGCCACCACATTGGCCTTCTTGGGATGATAAAGAATGGTGATTTCATAATCCTTAAGCAACTCCAACCATCTCCGCTGTTGCAAATTAAGATCCTTCTGTTTAAATAGATGTTGTAGACTCCGGTGATCGGTATAGACCTCACAATGGACACCGTACAAATAATGCCGCCAAATCTTTAAGGCATGAACAATAGCTGCTAACTCAAGGTCGTAGACCAGATAATTCTTCTCATGTACCTTTAACTGTCTGGACGCATAGGCAATCACCCTACCATCTTGCATCAACACTACGCCGAGACCAATACGCGACACATCACAATACACAGTATAAGACCCTTAACTTGTAGGCAATACTAATACTGGGGTTGTAGTCAAAGCTGTCTTGAATTTTTAAAAGCTCTCCTCACACTCATCGGTCCACGTGAACGGAGCACCCTTCTGGGTCAATCTGGTCATAGGTGCGGCAATAGAAGAGAAACCCTCTACAAATCGGTGATAATACCACGCCAAGCCAAGAAAACTCCGGATCTCCGTAGCTGAGGATGGTCTGGACCAACTCTGCACTGCCTTAATCTTCTTCAAATCTACCTTGATCCCCTCGCACGAAACTATATGACCCAAAAATTCCACTGAATCAAGCTAGAATTCACACTTTGAAAATTTTGCATATAACTTCTTTTCTCTCAAAGTCTGAAGCACAGTCTTCAGGTGTTGTTCATGATCCTCCCAACTCTGGGAGTACACCAGAATGTCTTCAATAAATACAATGACGAATGAGTCAAGATAGGGATAAAATACACTGTTCATCAAATGCATAAATGTTCCTGGGGCGTTGGTCAACCCAAAAGACATCACAAGGAACTCGTAATGACCATACCGAGTCCTGAAAGTAGTCTTCGGGATATCTGGCTCCTGAATCTTCAGCTGGTGATAGGCTGAACGCAAGTCTATTTTTGAGAACACCCTGGCACCCTGAAGCTGATCAAATAGGTCATCAATATGTGGCAATGGGTACCTGTTCTTTACTGTAACCTTGTTCAACTGGCGGTAATCCATACACATTCGCATAGAACCATCCTTCTTCTTCACAAATAAGACAGGAGCATCCCAAGGTGACAAACTGGGCCGAATGAACCCTTTATCAAGTAATAGCTCCTTTAACTCGTTCAGCTCTGTTGGGGCTATATAATAAGGTGGAATAGAAATGGGATGAGTGCCCGGTAACAAAATCAATGCCAAAGTCAATATCTCTGTCAGGCGGCATGCTCGAAAGATTGCTGGAAATACGTCTGCAAAATCTCTCACTACCGGTACTGACTTGACAGTAGGAGTATCAACACTAACATCTCTTACATAGGCCAGATACGCATCACACCCCTTCTCAACCATTCGTTGAGACTTAAGAAATGAAACAACCCTGCTAGGAACATAATCTAAGGTACCTCTCCACTATAGCCATGGTAGACCTGACATAGCCAACGTCACCGTCTTGGCGTGACAATCAAGGATAGCGTGATAGGGCGACAACTAGTCTATGCCCAAAATAATATCGAAATCCACCATATTGAGCAATAATAAATCAGTTCTGGTCTCAAAACCACTTATAACAATCAAACACGACTGATACACGTGGTCAACAATAATAGATTCACCCACGGGTGTAGATACATAAACAGAAGAACTCAAAGAATCACGGGGTACGCCCAAATACGAGGCAAAATAAGATGACACATAAGAATAAGTGGAGCCTGGATCAAATAAGAGTGATGCATCTCTATGACAGACCGGAACAATACCTGTGATAATAGAATCAGATGCAACTGCCTCCGTCCTAGCAGGAAGGGCATAATATCTAGCCTGGCCTCCCCCTCTAGGGCGACCTCTACCTGTCCGACCTCCACCCATAGTTGATTGTGCTGGTGGAGTGGCAACTGGTGTAGTAATCATGGGTTGAGAAGCCTGATGGCACTGTGGAATAGTTGGGTCCTGAGAGTTCTATGGAGGCGCACCCCTCCTAAGTATGGGGCAATCCTTCACCATATGACGAGTGTCGCACACTTAAAACAAGCTCTCGGAGGACGTGGCTGCTGCGATGGCCTCGGGTCTGATCAACTGGACTGGCCACTGGAATCACCCCGTACAGGAGGCACACTAGACATTGGTGGTGCATAATAAGGATCCTGGGCCTAGGAGTGGCCGGAGTTCCGCTGGCGGCTGGAAGTGCTGAATGAACAGTGCGACTCCCATAACCCCTACCTTAACGACGCACGAGAACTGTTCTACGTGCGAGAATCTCGAGGTCCCTTAACTTCTCTTTCTTCTCTCTCCCGGATCTGTATACCCTCCAATCTCCTAGCAATTGACACCACCTGCTAGTATGCGATATCCATCTCCAGCTCTAGGGCCAAAATGAATTTGATACTAGGGTGGAGCCCCTCAATAAATTGACGAACCCACTCTCGAACAGTAGCAACCAAGGCTGGTATATGCCTATCCAAATCACTGAATCGGATCGCATACTATGACACGGTCATAGAGCCCTGGCACAACTGCTCAAACTCTACGTGTCATGCATCTCTAAGACTCCAAGGAACATATTCCCTCAAGAACATATCGGAAAACTGAGTCTAAGTGAGTGAAGCTACCTCAGCTGGACTATCCAACACGTGTGCCTGCCACCACTGGTAGGCCGCTCCTCTAAACTGGAATGCCGTGAAAGAAACCCCACTAGAATCCACAATACCCATAGTTCGGAGGATGCAGTGACATTCTTCAAGAAAACCCTGAGCATCCTCTAAAGCCAAAACGTTGAAAGTGGGAGGGTGGTACTTCTTGTACCTCTCGAGCCTGAGTTGTTCCCCCTCCGAAACTGCTTCCCTAACCTCGAGCTGAACTGGGATAACTGGCTGCACTGGTATAACCTCTGGGGCATGGTCATCCTGGCCCTGTGGCTTTGGGGTACGGGCGGTGGGAGTCTGTGCTCCTCCCCCGGCCTGAGATGTGGCAGGAGCAAGTGAAATCAACCCTGCCTGAGCTAGAGTGCCAAACATGCTCAAAAACCGGGCAAGAGTCTCCTGAAGTGCAGGGGTAGTAACAGGCGTCTCAAGTGCCTACTCTCCAACTGGAGCTACTGGTGGCTCCTCTACAGCAACTCGTGCAGGTACTCTGGCTGCACCACGTGGTCTTCCTCGGCCTCTGGCTCGGCCTCTGCCCCGGTCCCGGCCTTTTGCGGCTCCAACAGGGGGTGCGGGTGTCTGATCATCAGATCCAGTTGTGCGTGTCCTCACCATCTATGAGAGAATAGAAAGACAATGGTTTAGAATATCGAAGTCAACAAATGCGCACGATAAGGAATCAAAGAAGTGAACATTTTCCTAATAGTTCCATAGCCTCCCGAAGATAAGTACAGACATCTCCGTACCGATCCGCGAGACTCTACTAAACCTATTTGTGACTCATAACACCTATGAACCTAGAGCTCTGATACCAACTTGTAACGACCCCAATTTCCCCTCCGTAGGATGTCATGATGGCACCTAGTCTCTAAGACTAAGTAAGCCTAATAATTTGCGGAATATATAAAAAAAATAAACTGAACTCCAATCTCAACACTTGATATATAAATATAAAACTGCAAATCCACAATCACAACTCCCAAAACCCGGTAGAAATAAGTCACAAGCTTCTAAGAATTTATTCTAAGTATCTTAATACATCAGAGTCTAAAGAGAAATCAGGAAGACAACATAATAAGGATAGAGGGGGACTCCGAGGTCTGCGGACGCTGGCATATGTACCTTGAAGTCTCCGTGTATAGCTAGTTCAATGATACCTAGTCGGATAGGAAGTACCTGGATCTGCATAAAAAGATGTGCAGAAGCATAGTATGAGTACACCACAGCAGTACCTAGTAAGTGTCAAGCCTAACCTCGGTAGAATTGTGACGAGGTCAAGTCAGGCCCTACTGGCTTAAGAGAAAAGTAAGGCAGAAGATATAATAATATTTTTGAAATGACTAAGAATTTAAACAATAAGAAGTTTCAGAAAATATCAGCACAGTAAATAGAGGTAAACAATAGGGGTACTCCCGAGGTACCGCCTCGTAGTCCCAAAAGTAAATCTACAGTATGGTGGATCTCCCGAGGAACCACCTCGTAGTCCCAAAAGTAAATCTACAGTATGGTGGATCTCCCGAGGAACCACCTCGTAGTCCCAAAAGTAAATATGCAGTACAAGGGAATCTCCCGAGGAATCGCATCATAGTCCCAAAAGTAAATATGCAATATAGTGGAATCTCCCGAGGAATCGCCTCATAGTCCCAAAAGTAAATATGCAATATAGTGGAATCTCCCGAGGAATCGCCTCATAGTCCCAAAAGTAAATATGCAGTACAAGGGAATCTCCCGAATAAACGCCTCGTAATCCCAAAGTAGATATGCAGCAGATAACCGAAGGAACAATGAATTTACAGCAAGAATCTTACAGTTAAAAATTTAATTCAAATCAAGGGAAACAAGTAGTTCAACTAAGCATGTTGCACAATTTGCAAGTAAGAGTTAAGGCACGTAGGCATGTGATACTAGGCTAAACATGATTACGACATATGCTAAGGCAACTTAGTAAAGGAATTTAAAAGAAGACAACTCAGCAAGAATCGAAATTTTTCATAATTAGCCCGTGTACGCACTCGTCACCTCGCGTACACGGCGCTCACATATAACAAATGGTTACAAGAGTACCAAAACCCAAGGGGATTTCCCCCACATAAGGTTAGAAAAGTCACTTACCTCAAATCTCGCTCAATCAATCGATAAGGATGTCTTTCCCTCGATTTTCCAACTCCAATCGGCTCGAATCTAGCCAAAACAACTTCGTAATATAAATACAAGTATATAAAATTAATTCAAAAAATAAAATTACGATCTTTACGAAGAAATAATAAGTCAACCCGAGCCCGCATCTCGGAACCTAACCAAAAGTACAAAAACCCGAAAACTCATTCAACGACGAGTCCAACCATACCGATCAGCAAAATAAACGTCCAGTAAATAGACATCGAAACCATTTAAGAAAGATAGAACTTGGGAAAACTAAAATAACAAAAAGCGAGAAAAGTGAATCAAGCCATCAGACAGAGCCATTTAAAGATTTCCAACTCTATCCATGTTAGATTCCTACAAATTTAAAATTGTTTTTTTTTATTAATCCTACAATCTAATTGTGTGTTGACTTGCCCCTCCAGTTTCAAATTACTCCAGATCATTTTAATACCCCAAACGAACCAAGCTCAAGCTCACATTCTTATGAATACTATACTAAAATATGCAATTTAATAAAGAAACTCATTTTAACAAACATGCCAAGCATCCAACTTGATGACAACAACTCTTTAGGATACTGTGATACTAAATTCATTAATGCTAAGTTCTTGCCTTTAAGATTTAAAAGAATAAAGAGAATTCAACTCCAATGGTAGTATAAAACCAACTTCACGTCAACTTTAATAGACTAGAAAAGCAAAATATTGATAAATTAACTTTGCGGTAAATATGATGAATTCATTTTACTTGAAGATTGTAAAAGGCCGATTGAGAATTTTTAACTCATATAATCCATGTTCAAACCATAAATAAATAAAAAAAATAAGTAAACACATGGAGAATATCTTTTGTTTTAGTAGCTTTTTAATAATAAAGAATCATATGAATATCCACTCCCTATTTGACTAAAAACTAAATCAAATGTAAATTCAACACAAAATAAGTTCACTCCATCCTAATATAAATTCATAGATAAGAGTATATGAGATGCCGAAAACAGTGAACAAAACACTAAGGAAACTAAACAAATCTCAACAATTATTGTAACCTTAATCCATCTTTTAATTGCTCTTCTGAGACTAGATTAACTCCAAATATGATTAAATGAAGAAGAGAAAAGGGAATTGAACCTGCTAAGCCAAGACTATCTTTAACACCAATAGAATAATCGCCAAATATAAGATATTGCCTCCAGAATCCAAACGAAAGAGAAACGACAACAAAGATGAACACGAACCGCAATCGGAACTCATGAACGGCAGCTAGAAAACTTCCGACTATGACCTCGAACAAAACTCAAAACATATTCAACTCAATCAAATTCAATATTTTGGAAATAAATATCGGAATCAAAGGAAGAAGCAGAAGCGTATTTTGTCGTATTTTTATTTTTTGATTTTTTCTGAAATCTAAATGAAACTTGAAAATCTAAAAATGGAGACTAAAAGAAGAACCCGCTTTTCTCTAAACGCTAGCTTCTGTCCCAATTTTGTTTTCTTCTGTCCGAAAAATCTGATAATAATAATATATAGGTCTCAATAAGCTTCAGTGCTTCTTTCCCCAAGCCTTCCAATCCGAAAATTTCTTATTATTTTATTCTAACCTTAATTTTTCAAACTTTCACAGATTAATGCCGAAATGATCTACGAACCTCCAAATCAATATCCGGCCATGTTCCTAAGATTAAAATTACCATACGGAGCTATTGAAATCATGAAAACTATATTTCGGAGTCGTCTACACAAAAGTCACACTACAATCAACTCTTTCAACTTAAATATTTAACTTAGAGACTATGTGTCCCATTTTATTCCAAATCCAAAACCAAATACCCCGACAAGTTACATAACCAAAATATAGCACAGAGAAAGCAACAAATAGGAGATCGGGGCTAGCACTCTCAAAACGACCAGCTGGGTCATTACAGAATCTCTCGACACCGACTCTTATTGTGCGTGTGAGTGTAACTGTGGCTCAAAAGATAAGAAAATCAAAATTAATGCAGTCTTGATGGGGCTAAATGAAGCTTATAGTAATTCTAGAGGAAACATTCTTATGATGGAGCCTCTGCCCGACATCATTAAAACCTATTCGTTGATTATTTAGGATGAGAAGCAACGAGGTATACATAATGTTCCTACATTCCAATCTGACTCCGTCTCTTTTTCTGCTAGGACAAGTTACAATCCAATAGCACCACAATCTGCCAATCCTAATCAGAGATACAATTTCAGCAATCGCACTAATCAGTATTTCAGCAATCCTACTAATCAGAATTTTGACTTCAGTAATCGGACAGGCAATGTTGATCCTATAAAGCAATTTTACAAGTATTGTAAGAAAAATGGGCATTTAATAGAAAAGTGTTATAAGCTTCATGATTTTCCCCAAAATTTCAAGTTTGGCAATAAGAATATGAGGATTGTTGCTAATGTGTACTCTTCTGCTGAGCCAAAATCTGATTGTGCTTCTGATAGTGCTCTTCCTCCAAACACAATTACTAGGGCTCTTTCTCCAAACACAATTACTATAGAACAATACCAGCAGATCATGAATATTCTTCAAAATGTCTAGGTTGATGATCCACAAAATCAGTATGTCTCTGCTACAGCTAATTTTGTAGGTATACCTGCCTATTATTCTCTCTCAATTTACCATAGTTGTACTTGTCTAAATAGTGTGCTGAATTCTAATACGTGGGCTTTAGATTCTGGGGCATCAGATCATATGACCTCCAACAAATCATTACTCACCAATTTGACTAACCCATCTATCACGTATCTTGTCACTTTACCTAATGGGTAGAAAGTAAAAGTCACATCTACTGGCACTGTTAAGATCAATCCATATGTTACTTTGTCCAAAGTTCTATATGTGTCTACTTTCAAGTATAATCTGATTTTCGTTCACAAACATTTAGTTGACACTTCTTTTCTAGCGTTTTTCACACAATATGCATGTTACTTATAGGGGCCTTCACCGAAGAAGCCATTGGAACTTGGTAAGGTGCCTGAAGGGCTCTACTTGATCAATCCTAGATCTTCCTCAATTGCAGAACCACACTCTGGCTCAAATTCTATTTCTTTTACTATTTCTGTTCCTATCTCTGTTCATGTGAATACATTAAGTGTAAATAAGTCTCATGTTTTGTGGCACAATAGATTGGGACATCTCCCGCTATCAAAATTGCAGAAAATAGAATGTTTGGATGTTCCTTCTTGTGATAAACAACCTTTTTCTTTGTGAAAATTGTCCTCTTGCTAGACAACAACGACTTCCTTTTTCTCATAGTGAGTCTTATGCTTCTCATGTATTTGATCTTATTCATGTGGACGTTTGGGGACCATATCATACTGCAACACAAAGAACTTATAGATATTTCTTAACAATTGTAAATGATTGTAGTAGACATATTTGGACACATCTGCTTAATCACAAAAGTATTGCCCTATCTGTTTTAATATCTTTTATTTCCATGGTTGAAACGCAATTTGACATCAAAATCAAAACACTAAGGACATAAAATGCTATGGAACTTTGAAACAGTCATGAAGCCATAACATATTTCTTGTCCAAGGGTGTCATACATCAAACCTCTTGTCCCTATACACCTCAACAAATGGTATTGTTGAAAAATAATACAAACACTTGTTGGAAACATCAAGAGCTCTATTATATCAGTCCAAACTTTCACTTCAATTCTGGGGAGATTGTATTTTGACAGCCACTTACTTGATAAATAGATTTCCCAGTTCAGTGCTGTCTGGGAAGGCACATTGGGGCAAAGACATTTTCTGAATGTTGATTCTGATTTCTCTCTTCATGCCTACTGTGACTCGGACTAGGCAACTTGTCCTAGTTCTAGAAGATCTGTTAGTGGCTATTTGGTGTTGCTGGGTGGTTCTCTTCTTAATTGGAAATAAAAAAACAACACATCGTTGCTTTATCTTCCGCTGAGGTTGAATACAGGTCCATGAGACGGGTGGTAGCTGAACTTGCATGGCTCACCAGGTTACTAAATGAACTTTCAGTCACCTCCATTGTTCCTGTTCCTGTCCACTGTGATAGCCAGTCTGTCATTTATATTGTCCGGAATCCTGTTTTTTATGAGCACACCAAACACATAGAGTTGGATTGCCACTTCATTCGTGAAAAACTTCATGATGGGCTTATCTCCCTATCTTATCTCCCCAGCAAATTATAGTTGGCAGGCATGCTTACCAAACCTCTTCCTCGTGTGACTCACAAGTTTATTTTGGACAAGTTGGGTGTAGCGAACCACCCTCCAACTTGAAGGGGGTGTTGGAGTTATATTTAGGCCACTTGACTATTCTGTATGTAGCTAATTATTCGTATTGCCTAATCTCCTTTTATTTTTCTTGTAATTGGTTAGACCTGGATGTTTGTGGACTTGTATATAAATGATTGGTGGTTCCACTTTGGGACCAAGTTGCCTATTTTATACAGAAACATCTCCCGTCTCTTTTTCGAACCTTCTCTCCCTTCTTCTTCGTTGAGTCTGTGCTTATTTCATCAAATTCAACAAGATCTAAGCTTTCTATATAGGTCATTGATAGAGAATGAAAGCGAAATCAAGACAACCATCACCTGTCACAGCATGCTGGTTTGTGCATTGGCTTTGGTTTTGGTGGTATATTACAAATTAATCTTACCAAACCATCTCAAATATAAACTTGAGATACCAGGAATCAGAGAATGAAACGCCAGATGAAGCAAATCACCGAGAAACTATCTGATTGGGAAAAGATACCATCGCAAACGATTAGCACCATCACGAAAAACAATAGCCCAAATTTGAAAGTTACTCCGATGAAATTGAAGAAAGCAACTCCAAAGCTTCAAAACCAGAAGAATCGACGAACAAACAACAACCGAAATTAGAAAATCAGAGAAAAAAATCTCAAATTCACATTCTAAGGTTTTCGATTTTTTCCAAAATTTAAAAAAATAAAGAAATTGAGCTATGAAAACACGAAATCTACATCAGATTGATGATAGATCGCCCTGATACCATGTTGAATTTGATGAAATAAGCACAGACTCAACGAAGAAGAAGAGAGAGAAGGTTCGAGAAAGAGACAGGAGATGTTTCTGTGTAAAATAGGCAACTTGGTCCCAAAGTGGAACCACTAATCATTTATATACAGGTCCACATACATCAAGGTCTAACCAATTACAAAAAGAATAAAAGGAGATTAGGCAATACGAATAATTAGCTACATACATAATAGTCAAGTGGCCTAAATATAACTCCTAACAGATCTTGAATCCATGAATAACTAGAGGCGATTGAAAAAAACGGTACTGAGTTTTAGAAAGAGGAAAGCATAGGCTTCTTGCTATTGGGTCAAGCCAATACCGTAATACGTTATATATGTATTATCTTTTCTGCAGTAAGTTGGTCAAGTACATAAAATTAGTTATGCCAACTTTTGACTTGTACCATTAAGCCACATGTAGTTGCCGAGCCTTGTTTTATTGGCGGCAACATACTAGGAAATAAGTAATCTGTACCATTTTTCCAGCCATAAACAGTAGCAAGATATTTAAGCACAATTATTTCCTTATGCTAAAACATTTCCGATAAAGGTGGAGGATTGTGGTAGGCTAATAATTAGCCTAAAATTAGCCAATTCAGAATGATTCCTCATATAGCCAACCCCAACTTGTCTAGGAATGAGACATAGTTGTTGTATGCAAAAATATTGCAAAGCTTAATTTTGTAGACTAAAATATAAAGGATAATATTCCCTGCTTTCCCAAGATGGGAAGACTTGATGTAAAACATATTGTCAAATGCATAGTTACTCAGATCATCTATTCATCTCTTGTTAAGAACTCAACTGAGATGAGAATAATTAACTATCAAAATCTCAAGTATGAAGGTCTGATAAGAAGTCTCTTGTCCTTTATATACACTATATTATACAAGTCACAAATGCAAGTCTACTTTGTAAACTCTCCTTCTATCATAGTATTCATTTTATAATTATAACATCATAATTAAGGTTTAACACCCTTGGAACTAAAATATATTGAGATCTGAACCTCTGTGACTCCGTCTCAATTCTCCTAAGATCCTATTCCGCAGAAGCAGATATATCCCCCCTGTGCAAGGCATACAACAAGAATCAAATACTGTTAGAAATATATTTTAGAAGCTGCACTCAGTAAAATTATTTTACTGTTTCAGCTTAAGAGTTATTTACTGCAGTAATTTACTTTGAATTTGAAATAATTTTGATTTAGTCTCTAGGAGTTTGCTATTTTCAATAGATTTAGTGCTGATTTTTAGGTCTTTTAAGTTTGTATTTCTCTTATAAATTGTAGTCCAAATGCAGTAAAATAATATAGAAATTTCAGCTTCAGTTCCTTTTACATCTATTCTAGTATACTCTTTTAATTTTCTTGTCATCTTCCCTTGTTATTTCCCTTAATTTCTTTCATCAAGAACCAACAA